CCGAGCGGCCGCAGGGGCCACCGCCGAAGCCAGACAGCGAAGGAGTAGCGCGGCAGCCATGCTGGCGATAGAGCGGCAGGGCGCAGGGGCTCCGGTCCAAGAGTCCCGCGGCAGGATTTCCGGCTCCCGGGTGGTGCGGCCCTCCATGTGCGGGGAGAGGTTTCGCAGGGCAACTCTGCACCCACTTGCTCTCGATTGGATGTTCTCACGAACACCGTTGTTGTTAGGAGGACGTTATCCGAACCCATTATTCATCTTAATAAAAACAAAAAAAAAGCAAACGGAGCGAGGCTTCCTTTGACATAAACCCCAATGTCCAATTCCCTCTGCAAGTTTTTTTTTAAAATGACGTTTTGACAATTAGTTCGACGGTTTAAAATCCAGTACTTAAACTGGAATCCGCTGTCCAGATTTAAAGGACCAAGAGTAAAAGTTATATACGCTTCTTTTGTTGCAATGCGATTAAGTTTCAAGTCCTTTCGGAGTAAAAGCAAAAATGATGTAAGATACAAACAGCTGCAATAGCTAAGAGAAAAAGACGGGAATTTTTCTCCTTTAAGGCTACAATAATCGGCACAAATGTGAAAGCTGGATTTCTTTACGACTGAAAAAAAAGGTGCTCAATTTTCTAACAACGAGGATGAAACTAATGAGAAGAGCCAGTTTAAAGAGAAAATGCACGAAGGGAAAGAAAACCTCCCACCGACGGCTTTTATAAATCTCTTCCGGACCTAATGTCTGGTATTCCGTGCCGGAAGTGAGGGTTGTGAAGCACGCGTCACTTTTTTTAGTCTCTCTGAAGGGGAAGGGCACGACGTTTCCGGAAGTGGTGAGTGACGGGCAGGAAGCGGAAGTGTTGTGAGGCGGTGGGAGGAAGCGTCTCCTGAGCTCCTCGGATTAGAGCCTCAATGAGGGAAGGTAGCCGGCCGGGGGAGAGGTTGGGGATCGGTCGGTGGGTGCTGGTACCCTGGGAGGGGCAGCTGAGGGTCCGGCAGTCAGGGCTGCTTTTGCCGTTCCCTTCGAGGAGGTCTTACGGCGGACCTGCCTTTTGGGGTCAGCGCTGATTTCTGACCTTCCCCCTTAGGATCTCCCGGGCAGGCTGGTGATAGATCTAGAGGTGGCAACCGAGGGGAGCAGCCCCTCCGGGGGTGGGTGGAAAATGACGCTTTTGAATAGCCAGCCCAGCATTTCTTTCCGTTTCTTGTTGGCCTGGGCACCTGCGGCCTACTTATTACCGGGCTGAGGAGCTGTCTCATTGACTTGCTTAGGCTTATACAGTTATGGTTGAAGGTTGGACTTTGTCTTCCTCTTGACTTCTAGACTTGACAAAGAGCTCTTTTCTTCTCCCCCGCTC